GTGCGGAGGCAGCGGCGCCGGGACCGGGTGTGGAGGCGTCCGGCTCCAGCGAGGGCGCTTTCGGCAGGCTTTGGTCCTTGGTGCCGTTGGGCTGGGACTGGGGTTGGGGTACGTCCTGAGTTGAGCTGGTTTTTGAGGTATATTCGGCAGCGAACTGTCGGATCATTCGCTGCATGATCGCGCGAGCCACTAGAGGAATGTGGGGGTCTGTAAATCTCGGGAGGTCTGCTGAGGGAAAATATATGAAGGAATTACTTGTTTTTTTTTTTTGAAGATACAGAGAATAGATTTTAGCTACAAAATATAAAAATTTGATCACTCCAATGATATTTACTGCTCACACTTCACACCAGTGCGATTTTTGTATAATTGAGGTATTATTATAGTTTGAATCAGTTTTTTTAAATATAAATTTTACATTTTAATTTCAGTTAGTTTTAGTAATTTGTTGTTTTTTTTGTTTTTTTTAATTAGTTTTTTTACGTTTTATTAATTTAAATTTTAGTTATATATTAGTTTTCATTTTACATTTAGACATTTTACATTTAGACATTTACATTTAGTCATTTAGCAGACGCTTTTATCTAAAGTGACTTACAAATGAGGGCAATGGAAGCAATCAAAATCAACAAAAGAGCAATGATACGCAAGTGCTATAACAAGTCTCAGCTAGCTTAACGCAGTACATGTAGCAAGGGTTTTTTAAATAATATAATAAAAAGAAAACCGATAGAATAGAAAAAGAATAGAGCAAGCTAGTGTTAGAGGTCTTTTTTGCTTTTGTTAATTGTATAATAAATGAAAAGAAAACAGATAGAATACAAAAAGATTAGAAAGCAAGTGTTAGTTTTTTTTTAAAGAAAACAAGCAGCAAATGAATAGAGTGCAAGTCTAAATGTGTTTTTTTTATTTTTTAGAATAGAATTAGAATAGAGAGTGCTAGAGTTAGAGGGTCAAATAAAGATACATTTTATTTAATGATTTTTATTTAAATTTTAATTATATTTTAGTTTGTTTTTTTATTTTCATTTCAGTTTTATTTCGTTATATTTTAGTTTAGTTTATATTTAGGTTTTTTCATATTTGTTTTTTATTTTTATTTCATTTTTAGTTGATCAAGTTACACTAGATGAAAATAAGTCTTTTTTCTTCGGCAACTAGCTGAAATAAGTAAGTTTTTTTTTTTATATTTTATTTCAGTTAACGTTTATTTTATTTCAAGTAACAAAATTGTTTTTTTAATGGTTTTAGTATTAGTTAACTATAATAATCCTGCTTCACACACATTTGAAAAAAATCTCAAAAGTATTTTGCAATATTGTTATTGAACAGCCAGGTGAACATGAATAAGATAATATTTAATAAGTTAATATTTGACTAAAAAAGTACTTCTCGTCAGATTTTCTCTTTTATGAATTTTATATCTTATAACACTGCATCATTAAACTGTTTCACAATACATGTGGCTAGTGCCATTGTTTAAATCAAAGCCACTGGATTTGGCAGACAAGCCTTTGAAAACATTTCCTACAGGGCAGTAAAGTCCTGCAGACTTCCAAAAAGGAAAGACCGCTTCCTAATGTTCGTTTAGAGTAAAAAACATCAAACATACACGGTCAGGAAGAGAAACAGAAGACTGAAAACATCTGAACATCAAAGCACTTTTCTTGGACATCCATATACATATGCTGTGCGCATAATCTGTGCGTGTATGAAAATGTAAAAAAGTGAAATTTAATTTGATTTAAATTGAGTTGCAAGGTTTTTTAGTAAGTGTCAGTTATTTCATAATGGATTTTTGCCATGTCATAACTATTTGAATTTTATATTAAAAATACAAAAATACACAGTATTGTTTTTCCCAGTGTAACTACTTTGGTTTCAGCTCTTGTAATGTACAATATAATGTAAGTCTTACCCTTTCTATAGAAGACAACATTGAGGAAATCCTCTGCTTGCTTCTCAAGTTTGTTAATGTTGGACTGCTCTTGCTTGAAGCTGTCCGCTTCTGATAACACTTGGTTGTTCAAACCAACCAACTTTTCCTAGAGAGAGAAAAAAAAAAAAAATATATATATATATTTTTTTACTTATAGTCTTTTCACTTGAAAGCTGGATAGGAAGTCAGTGCAATATGACCATGTTGTACCAATTTACCTGTCATATTGTTCTCCTATAAAAATGTCTGCAAATTTGTGAATACAAAAGCTGTTCAATTTCAAAGAAAGAGTAAAGCTGATTTATTGTTTGAGGTTTGTTGTAAAGAAAACCCCAGGGCAAATGATTGACAGTGTTGTAGTTCCTTCACAGTCCATCTGTCACACCTGAAGATGTGTTGCCAAGTAATAGCTTAACAAAAAGTTAGAATAATAATTACCTGTCATTTGACTGGTAAGCATTAAAAGCGTTAATGAGCATTTTTTCTTTCAACACCGATGACCCAGCGACAACAAACATCTTTAAAGTGCTGCATGGTTGAAAACATTTAATGACTCCATGTGATATGTAAAATTGCTAATGCATTGTTTAAAAAAAAAAAGTATCTTCACTCTATCAACTACGTTGGTTTCATCTTGTGTAAAGTATAATATAATGCACGTCTTACCCTTTCTATAGAAGACAACATTGAGGAAATCCTCTGCTTGCTTCTCAAGTTTGTTAATGTTGGACTGCTCTTGCTTGAAGCTGTCCGCTTCTGATAACACTTGGTTGTTCAAACCAACCAACTTTTCCTAGAGAGAGAAAAAAAAAAAAAATATATATATATATTTTTTTACTTATAGTCTTTTCACTTGAAAGCTGGATAGGAAGTCAGTGCAATATGACCATGTTGTACCAATTTACCTGTCATATTGTTCTCCTATAAAAATGTCTGCAAATTTGTGAATACAAAAGCTGTTCAATTTCAAAGAAAGAGTAAAGCTGATTTATTGTTTGAGGTTTGTTGTAAAGAAAACCCCAGGGCAAATGATTGACAGTGTTGTAGTTCCTTCACAGTCCATCTGTCACACCTGAAGATGTGTTGCCAAGTAATAGCTTAACAAAAAGTTAGAATAATAATTACCTGTCATTTGACTGGTAAGCATTAAAAGCGTTAATGAGCATTTTTTCTTTCAACACCGATGACCCAGCGACAACAAACATCTTTAAAGTGCTGCATGGTTGAAAACATTTAATGACTCCATGTGATATGTAAAATTGCTAATGCATTGTTTGTGGAAATATATAGATAGGAAAATAAGAGCGAGATTAATTACCTTCACTTTTTCACGTCTCAAGCAGCAAAAGAGACAATGTTCATTAAACGACCAATCTGACACACCCTCTGGCTCACAATCTGCAAGAAAAAAAAAAAAGATTTTTAACTGTGCTGTTCTTTTACAAACAAACACTAAATACACTTTGCCACATACTACAACAAACATGTTGGCCAATTATTAATAATAATGCATTTTAAAATAATAATATTCTGTGTTTTTCCTGCACTGACAATTTTCAGTAGCATCCCAAATAATATTTTTGGCCACATACTATGTTATTTATTATATTTTTTAAATATTATAATATTTAAAAATAATAAAATATAAAGAAAGAAGCCTTGCTCTTTTCGAGAAGATTTCAGAAAAACATCATCCGCCGGTTATTTCCACGCAGAGATATTTTTTGTTATACCTCATATCTGATTACTTTACTCAATATTCTCAGTAATAATCTAAATATTAATGTATTTTTTTTTTTACATTCTGACCAAACGCCCATTGAAATTGCTTCAAAATACCTTCAAAATGCTTTAATGTAAGAACTACATGCAAAAACTGTAATATTGAACTACATACATTTTTAGTGTCAATTGATTTAAAATATTATTTAAATTAACCCACATATCAATATTTGCATAGAAAAGCCCTCAAAGGAAGACCTGATCTAATGTATTGGTGAACACTGACAGGAGTCATGTGCAAATGTTCATGAGAAATGAAATTACAATGGTTTTTGGTGTAAGTAACCTTGACTACCATAAGCGGGCCTTGGGGGGAAATTAAAGTGTTAAATCTTTACCCCATATATGTTTTTCTTTGTTATCATCTTTGACAGACTTTATTTCTAATGCTGTGTCTGATTATAGCCGCTAGCTAACAATCACATGACAAGGATATTTTGTTTATTTTTAGGAGTTGCCGTCTCTTGACCGATTGACTGCAAAATGAGATGAGACAATATTCCATTCTTGACTACTCCAGGTATGCGAAAGGTAAAAATGTCTTATATGGGCATATTCATTATGACTATAAAAAGTAACGTTGTGACATCTGTTAGAAGCAATTAGATGATTTGTTATCAAAGAAAATGAATAACCAGAACTAACCTGTACTGATCTGTGTATAAATTATTAACTTGAGCAACTTTTAAAGTGCACTAACACTTTCATCTAGAAGGCCATTTAATTTGTGGCTGTGTGCATTTTAGGTTACTGTTTTTGCAAAAAGAAGTATTTATCTTGATAAATAATTACCAACATAAGTCAAAACGTTGGAAAAACAAAAACATGACCTTTTTCTCCAACATAGAAATGTTCACTGTGTGAAGTTTTAATTTGTTCTGCAAAAAAGAGCAAACCACTTAGGCCATGTTTATATTCATGTTTAAATTTAGTTTTGATTATTTAAGCTCATGAATGGTTCTTCTGACTTAACAGTTAATTGTATACACCTTAAGAAACAGACAATTAAAAAAATTTCTGGTTGATCTGCTAATTAGATTGATGCCTCATATATTGTGAATTTACAAAATGACTCAAGGGCTTAGAATAGAGCCCTGTGGTACTCCAGAACAAAAACAGAAGCTGGATGTTTTTCAAATGAGCAATTTTGTTTGGGTTTACAAACAAAAAAAACTTTTCTTACTCAAATTAGTTTTTTTAAAGGTGCAGTAAAGAAGATTTGTCCATTTAACAGTTTAGGTATAAAACTGCAAAATAAAAATTGGGCTTCGGCTCAGCTGTACAGTGCAGATGAATATGATGGTTTAAGCTGTATCTGTGCACATGTGCTTACAAGTGATCTTTTTTAGAGCCAATGTCACTATCAAAACTCTAATCATTTGAGAAGTCCAGCGGTGCATCTCAATCACCTCCCTAGTTCAGTAGTCAAGGCACTGTGTCACGGTCTTCAGCGGGTGTGCCCAGGATGGCCACCAGATGACTGTGTTCTGTGATCACATGGCTTGTGTTGTGTTTGTTTGTTGCCATGTGCTCTCTCCTGTCTATTGTCTTGCCCCGCCCATCTGGTTACCTCATTATTGTTTAAGTTGCTCCACCTGTGTCTCCCTCTCTAGCCTCCTCATTTGGTTTCCTATTTATTCTCCTGGTGTCTGTAATTCTGGGCTGATCCGTCGTTTTTTCATTGTGTGTGTTATGTCTGCATGTAGTGCAGTTCCTAGACTGCCTGTCTGTTTTCCCCCTCGGGGTTGTTTTAGTTTGTTTTTGCTTCATTTTATTATTAAAAGAAAGAACCATTCATCCTGCACTTGAGTCCTCGCTTCATCTCTCCACACACACTGTGACACACTGATCAGGGAGTCGGCCATTTTTAGGGCTGTCTCATTCGTATAATCCTTCCAGTGCACTGGAACATTTGCTCCCTGAAAAAAAACATAATGCACCGCAAAAACAAGGGAGAATTGTAGATGCTCACTATGCTCCCTTACCATAAATTAGATCACATTTCTGAAGCGTGAAACATAAAATGCATAAGCCAACACAATAAATATAATAACACATGATAGAAGATTTGAAAAGCATAAACACATCGCTAGACAAGTAGCGTACAAATCTAGTTAACATTTATAATTAATATTCGGCTGTTGAAAAGATATGTTACAGAGCAATGCGTTTAAAAAGCATGAAAAATAATATCTGCCTGTTGTTGATTAATACTAGTGGTGATGATCTACAATGCTGTAAGTAGTCATGTCACTGGAAATTGAGTAATCACTGTCCAATGTGTAGTATGCCAGGGTCCTTACCAGTGCCCAGATTCATGTACATTATATACTAATTCACTAGCTAGGGAGCTGATTGAGACGCCCCCTACACATCTCACTTTTGGCTGCTCCTGTTAGAGGAGTCTCCACAGTGGATTATCCGTATTTTTATTTAGGTTTTACTTACTAACTTCATATCTCAAATTACATATTGTGTTTAAAGCATTCTGAGATTAAAATGACAGTTTCAACGTTTAAAAGTAGACAACTTTTTTGTCTCGCTCAGGCTACTTTTGTAGCTGGCATTGTACATACTTTTATTTTACCTTAAACACAATTTTTTAAAATTAGTTTGTAAATTAGTTTTTTTAAATTAGTTATTTTTTAAATTAATTAGTTTGACAAAACTACATGTTAATTGGAAATTACTGCAATTTAAAATATAGTTTTAAATATATGTAGTAAATCATGTTTTTTATGGATTTTCATAATTTAGAATGTAAAGTCTGGGACAAGGTTAAATTGAGACTTTAGTCTTTGCAACTTTACAGATCTTCTTTATGCACCAAGAGCACTCCAACACTCCAAAGAGAAAGGAAAAATTTAAATCGCATCATATGACCCCTTTAAAATAATAACATCTATACAAGAAAGGTTAAAAAATACGATTCAAATATGATATTATTTAGACTGTAATTAAAAGTTAACTGCAAACATAGCATTCTAATTTAAAAGTAACCATCAGTATAATCTTCACCTCAATCGCATCCAATGTAACACTGACCTTGAAAGAGGGTAAGATCTTTTACGAGTCCTGGTCCAAACAGCCCCTCCAAAATGCTTTCGAACCCTGTGAAGAAAACAAAGGTATATTCTTATTAGCTCTGTGGAAGGTCTATAAGTACAAATCACATGTCCACCCACGTCCACCCCCACACGTGCACAAATTGCTTTCAATTTTATGAACTAAATCAATGCTTTGCCGATTTAATACTGCCACTCAATTTAATTAACTGCAAATACCGGCTCAAGTGCATAGTTGCATGAATACACCCTGAAGAATCTGCTAAAATGGGAAACAAAAAAAGAGAATTATTAGCCTATTCTGTGTAAATGTTTTATAGTAATGATTCTTGGAAAGGAAATCTTGGAAACAAATCAAATGCAATGCAGACATCTGAATGTCGAGATGTGAATGCCTTTAGTTTTGATGCTTTAAAAAGGGAACACATTTAAAGACGCATTCTTTTTGAGAGTTTTACCTTGCTATACTAGCTAATGCACGACACATTGCAATCTCCTAATTAAATAAACAACAACAACAACAAAAAAATGATCAAGAAAAAAGGCAAAGCAAAAATCAAAAGTGAAAAAACCCATAGATTTATAATAGCAGCCATAATAATAAAAAATAAAAAAATGAACGAAATAACATTTTTGTGCATTCTCTAGTCTAAACCACACACTTAAACTTGAAAGGATCATAGAGGCATTTTCTCTAATTGTTTAAGGCAAATCCTTACAGCTTGTTCAATAACGCCCTTAGTTTTGCTGTCGCAATAATTAAAAAGAACATGATCACAAGTTTTTGTATGCAATGCAGACATCTGAATGTCGAGATGTGAATGCCTTTAGTTTTGATGCTTTAAAAAGGGAACACATTTAAAGACGCATTCTTTTTGAGAGTTTTACCTTGCTATACTAGCTAATGCACGACACATTGCAATCTCCTAATTAAATAAACAACAACAACAACAAAAAAATGATCAAGAAAAAAGGCAAAGCAAAAATCAAAAGTGAAAAAACCCATAGATTTATAATAGCAGCCATAATAATAAAAAATAAAAAAATGAACGAAATAACATTTTTGTGCATTCTCTAGTCTAAACCACACACTTAAACTTGAAAGGATCATAGAGGCATTTTCTCGAATTGTTTAAGGCAAATCCTTACAGCTTGTTCAATAACGCCCTTAGTTTTGCTGTCGCAATGATTAAAAAGAACATGATCACAAGTTTTTGTCCTTCAGGCTACGGCTGTCTTTCTGACAGAAACACAAACCGCCAGGCTTAGTTAGTGCGATTCACTATTCATCAGCTGTTCCCACTATAGTTTGCTTATAAAGCATGCATTCCAAATTGTTGCTGGCTACAAAGGAGGCTTTGAAAACAAAAATGAGCACTTCAAAGTGTTCCAACATTCCAGTCCATTAAATGCACAGCATTACTGCTAAAACTGCAGCGGTTTTTAAGCTCTAGTGGATAATTGCATGGGCACACAATGATTGAGTACTGTACATATAATGCAAAGATATTTGTGATAAAGCACAACATTATGTTAGCCTTGAGTTTGCAAATACATTTCAGAAACACTTACAATTTTGACAAAAAAATGAAATCATACTCTTCCAAAAACTCATAAAGCCCTCATTAAATCAACTTGAATTTATAAGTGATACTGAGTTTTGTATTAAATGCTTAAATTCTTAAATTGTATTAAATTCAGTGCTTGTTCATATGATGTGTAGTTAAATATGAAAAGCACTAGTGCAAGAGGCTTGTTGGAGGAGAACTGTGTGGGATATCGCCACAAAAGAGCGACTCATTCAACCCAACAAAACTAACATTCATTCACTATCACTACACAACCTTAAATCACCAAGACCAAATAAAGAATGCATTGCACACAAAAATTTAACAATCAGGGTGAGGAAAGGTCCAATTAAGGGGGTGCGTGAACATACAGAAACACGCCAATCAATTCGACACCAGGGAGTCAAGTCAGCAGCTTTTTGTTTGAACTTCCTGGTGACCATTAATAGTCTATAGTGTAGTGGATGTATGAATAATTTACTTTCACTGGGCAACAAGCACCCATGTATCTAACCAGTAGATAAGATCGATATATCGTACAGAGTCTGAGTTCTGCAGATGGTTGAAGGACACTATTTCCAAGCAAGCTTCCCACACAAGCTAACTGTTCAATGTAAAATGTAATTAAATCTAACCTAACAAACTGCATACATTTAAGGACAAATTCTAGAAGATATGGTTACTGTAAAAACAATCATGCTTTTAATTCTAATGCAGAAATTAGCCTAACTTGGAGTGCTTTGCTCATATTTCTAAATCCATAAACTAAATCAGGGGTTTTAAACAGTAACCTCATGCTATGTTTTTGTCATGTCCATGTTCCATTTTGTTAAATCTGCTTTAAAAAAACACACACACACACACAAATATGAGAGAAAAAAGACAAAGGAAAGAAAATAAAAATGCAGCAAAATGCATGTAACAATGTCTCTATGCAAAGGATGAAATTTGGCATTAGAATTATTTTTAGGTGTGGTGACGGCATGTCAATTTAGAGATTTTCACACATTGGATCGAGTACTGAACCCTGAGGCACACCACTTGACATTTGGCCCCTTTAAAATGGACTTGGATATTAACTGCTTCTGAATTATTATTATAAACATTTGTTAATATTTTGGCTTCGTGAATGTTGCTAAGAATTTACTGTGCTGCTTTTTTTATTTTTTTTATTTACTTTAAACAATCAAATTGGTTGCTAATTTAGGTTTCAAATATACACTTCCCTAAAGGCTTAAGCTGTTGTCAATGTCTTCCAAACGACTTCTGTAACATTTTAAGGAACTAAGCACCACCCAAGAGATCAATATCATCTTACATAAAGACTAGAAAAAAAGAGCTTTCTCTCTCCGGTGAGGACAATACCTTCATTAAATCATTAAAATCAGCATATTGGAGACGGTGCATGCTTTTTTCCCGTGGTTTATCTTAACCCTAAATTAAGCCAACTCCCTACCCCCAATCCTTCATACATGGGAGGCAGAAAGGGGGTTGGGGTTGTTCTTCAGGGGAAATCTGTGTCAACTACAACCATCTATATCTGGTTGAGCCAATCCATGAGACGGATGCTACAAAACAGCCTGGCCAAAGGCAACTAAGACAAGACACAACTTAATTTTGAGTTTAAAAACAAACCAATGAACAAATTGACCAATATAATGAATACAATTGACTAAAACACACAGACACACACACACACAGACACACACACACACACATATATAGTCACTGTAGCAACATCTCTGATGGTAAGAGTAGATCGCCCTTTATCCGGCACCAAGCAGTTCAAAAGACACACAAAAAAAAAGACGCTCCAAAAAATGTTCCCAACCCTACACCCACCCCCACCCTCACCCTCATTCTTCAGCCCATTGTTGTGTTAAAAGAGTAGTTTCTCCACATTTCAAATGCATTTATCCAATTTCACTCAGAGCATATTCAAATTGGGGAGGGGCAGAAGAAACTGGGTCATTTCTCTTTGTTTGTTTAAGGAGTTAACCCACAAAAAAGCCGCAGTCTCTGAGAAAGCAATCATAATCTGTGAAGAACCTGCCATTGTGACCCTGACGGCTATTCTTTAAATTCTGAAGGAAAAAAAGCAGTAACATTTTCCTGATAATTATCCGACAGGAAGCTGTCGGCTGAAATTCAATGTGGCGGCACGCAGGAGTCACACTGTGCAGTTCAACGATCCTGTTGGGGCCAATGATTTATTCAGTGCGCCATGTGCCAAAAGCAGAACGTCTAATTAATTATCCAATTATTTAATTATCCAACTGAAGGCCACTAAAATGATTAAGAAATCAATTGTAAAGCTCAGGCTTGAAATCTTTTATTATTCCTTGTATATAAAAATAAATGAAATAAGTTTTTAATGTGCTCCAATATTAACTCAGTTAATATAATATAGAGCTAATATGAACTCATTTTGAAAGGTCCCACTATGTTTAATATGTCTTTTCAATACATTAAACAAAATGCATATCTAAATAATATGAGGTGAAATGCACGCTGGAAATGCTGACAATTAGAAATATGAACAGATGTATGATGATATTATCCACAATTTGTTCAGAAAATAAAAGTAAACATAAAATACAAGTCAGAGATTTCAACGCTACATAAGTACTACATACTTGAAGTGCTCCATAAGTTTCATCATTTAGACAAGTAATAACAACCTTCTCCCTAAAAATGCTCAAATAGCTTAAGGATTTGAGGTATTATTCATGTCTGTAATACAAACACACTAAAATATGTATTTACTGTTGGGATTTGTTCAAACAAGCTCAAGAAATGAAAATCTGAGCTGAGAATAAGTTCAGTAAATTCATATTATTATGAATTATAAAATGCTGTCGATAATGTAAATATGAATAAAAATATATTATAATAAATAATATATTAAAATATATTATAACATTTATTTATAAATAATATTAATAGTATTCATTAATATTGTTTTTATATTTTTTCAGCAAGGTATAAATGTCTGTGATTTATGTTCGGTCCTTACCTCAAATTGAATGAGCTAAAATTGGTTTGGGGCTGTAACAATATATAAAAGATCCTTTATTTCATCAAATAAGTGATGTTTTCTGAATTTACACTGTAAATCAATTTAAAAGTAATTAATTTGACATCTATTTTCACATTTTTTACTGACAAAATTTAATTTCACAAATCATTACCTAAAAGCAGCTCTCGATGTATTCAAAAGCTTATATGTTTTATTCTGTATTTAAGACGCTCATATTGTTAGTGGAGTAGAACAGATGTTGAGTTAATAGAGATCGCCTTGAAGATTTGACTGCTTATACTGCAGCCGCAAAGATTCACCCTTGAGAAAGTAGATTAATGCTTAAAGACGTATAGCTGTCTAGGAAGCATTTCTTCTCTTGTCTCAGTCACCTGGAAGGTACGGCATACACATACTGTGCAAACGAATGCTGAATGAATAGAGCAGATATCACATGTG